CGGGGTGCCTAGGTCCTTTCCTTGTTGGTTATGTAAAGCTGGTTGGTACAGGTTTCAGGTTCTCTCAGGTTTTATTTTGGAGGGAACTGATGGCTTCAGATAAGCACTATGTGGAGGCAGGATCCAGGTTCTCTCAGACAGTGCCCTGTGTTCTCAGCCCCTATGCCAATGGGGAGACCAGAACCTGGCATTCTCTGATGGTCTGCTGAGATCATAGTAGCTACATGGACAGATTGGAACCTCATCATCTTTTCTAAAAGTGTTCACTGCTCCAGGATTCTTTCCTTTCTGTTTCCCTCACCAACTCCACATCTGCTGTTCTTTACCTATGAACTCTGTTGATCTGTCCATCTCTTTCATCCCTATTCTATTTTTTTAAGATTTATATATGTGTGTGTGTGTGTGTGTGTGTGTATGTTACGTGTGTATAGGTACTTCTCAGGCCAGAAGAGAACAGATCCTTTGGAGCAGGAATTACAGGCAGTTGTGAACCCCCTGATATGAGTGCTGAGAAGTGAACTCAAAAGAGCAGGAAGTGCTCCAAATTGCTGAGCCGTCTCTCCAGTGCTGCCCCCCATAGCCCCCCATTCTAGTTTTATAGCACTTACCCATTATTATTAATTTTTTTTGGTCTTTTTGAGACAGGGTCCCCCTGTAGCTCCAGCTGGCCTAGAGCTTGCTATGTAGACCAAGCTGTCCTTGAACTCACAGAGATCCACCTGCCTCTGCCTCCCAAGTTCTGGGATTAAAGCAGTGTGCCACCATGCCCAGCTAGCCCATTATTTTTATTATTAGTTATAATTAACATAATATATGCTGTATGTATTATACGTGTGTGTATGTCAGTATGTAGACATGGTTTTCAGTTAAAGGATGAGTTCTTTCAGGACAGAGACAATGCTTTCTTGTTCTTTGTCTTCTCAGTTTTTCTAAGACAGTCTAAGAATGTGAGGCCCAAATGAATGCATGACTGATGAATGAACTCATCAACTCAGTCTTAACACAGTGTGCAGATTCTTCATCAGTATTGATAACTCCTGAATCATTAAGGGAACAACCTAGTATAGTAGACTTATTTTACTTTAAAAACCATAAGATAAGAATTGAGAGTGAGGACTAAGAACAAACTATTCTAGCTATGCACAGACCCATTCTTGCTTTCTAGAATAATGTCCACATTTTTCTGAGATTGCAGAGATGGGCCTTCTTTTCCTTATTTACTCATTTGAAGTTTGTTCCCTCAAGTCATAAGTAATGAGTGTTTTTCCTATATAACATTTTATTATCTATTTATTTATTATCGTGTATGTGTGATGTGTGTATCTAGTCATACGTGCCACACCCTTGTGGAAGTCAGAAGACTTTTAGTTCTTTCTTCCACCTTAACATGGGTTGAGGCATGAGTCCAAGGATTGAACTTGGATCACCAGACTTGGACATTAAGTTCCTTTCCCTGATGAACCATCTCTCCCACCCTGACTTTTTCCTTTTCTCACTTATGTTCTCATTTTTGTATGTGTCCGTGATGAAAATGAAATAGACAAGGAAACCTTTCTCTCTGTTGAAATGATTTAACCTTTCTCGAGTCTTCTATAATAGTGCCTTCCATTCCTAGTTCATTTCCATTCTTTTGTGTTATCACTATTAATTTTTTTGCATATTGATATTTTTGCTGTACTCTTGTCAATATAATGGAATGACCTGTGGTTAATGGTGTAGCAATACATTTCTTTAGAATTATAAGCACTTAAAAGGTGGTCTCTTGGAGCTCTTCCCTACTCAATGTATGTCACCTCCTAAGGAATGGAAAGATAAACATCAAACAGTTCACTGAAACCTGCGCAACTTCACGTTGTTAAAAATGAGGCTCACTGGTGGATCATATTGCTCACACCTCAAAGGTACATATGCTTTCATATAACAGACTCTTTCAGCAGTGTCCTAACATACATACTCTCCTCAGCTGGGCGTCATCACTTTCCCAAATCAGACTCTAAAGCAGTTGTGATTAACCTCCATAGGTCTCTGTGGCACCAGCAGTCACTTAGCTTCCTCTGGCCACTTGCTGGTCCCTTCTTGTTTTCTCAGACTTTCTCAGCCTGGGAAAGTGGTAGAGGGGCTAGAAATCTCTATTACTTTTTTAAACTTGTGGGAAAATATGTATCACATATGCTTTACTTCCATAACCGTTTTGAAGTGCACAGTTTAGTGGCATTATGTACACAACCATTATCTACCCCCAGAACTGTTTTCATCTTCCCCAACAAAACTCCTTGCCCATTAATCACTAGTCCCCCTTTCCTCCTGCCCCAGCAACCACCATCCTGCTCTCTTTCTTTGACTCTTCAGGCCCTTCAGTCATTCCCCGTGGGCCTCTGTAAGAAGGGCAATCCTCAATCTTTTTAATCCTGAGACTAGATCAATCACTCTCTAGGAAACTTTCAAGTGCTCAGGAGACAGAAAAGACAAGAAAAATAGACAAGAAAAATAGCTCCTGAAGAAGGTCGTTAAGATAAACAAGAGTTACTTGCAGCTGTTGGGAGAAGACTTGTAGGACAGACTATGGGATCATCATGGTCCAGGAAGGGAGCCATAGTTGGTTTAGAGGACAGGAGCAAAGAAAGCTGTTGAAGAGGAAACAGATTCACATGGGTTTTCTTAGATGTGTAGTACTTACTATAAAAACAGAAAATTAAGCATAAAGATTCATCTCGGGAAGCCTTGGAGAAAACTAGAAGACACTTCTGATTGTAGCACAGTTCTGATGATCTGCTTATTATAATTCTTGTATAACCAGACCAGTCTGCCATGGAAACCTCTAGTATAGCATTTCTTCTTTTTCCATAGCCACCCATTTACTGATACCCTTAGTGAATTCTCTGTGTCTATTTCATATTTAATCCCTGTAAGAAAAAGGTCAACAGTACCAACGCAACAAAGGGCATCAAAGGGCTGTCCCTATGGACAGCTTTCTTGTACCTGACTGCCTGTGGACCAAGATGCATCTCACTTCATTCCTCATTAACTGATGCTGGAACCCAAGGGCTCCAACTAGAAGGCTGGAAGCCATTCAGCTATGAAAGCTTCTTAAAAGCAAAAACGCTAGCTCTGTTTTTACTTGAACTATGTGGAGGGAGATATTGGGAGCAAGCAGGTGATTAGCAGCCCTCTCTCTTAGGAAGTCTAACGTATTGTTTTAGCCACTGAGAATGATCGTCAGGTTTTGATCAGGGGTGCAACATGATCAGGTGTGCTGAAGAAAATCATACTGGTAGCAGTGCACTGAGTAAAGAAGAGAATAAGTGATTGATGATGGATTATAATTACCACTGAAAAAATAATTGATGCCAGAAGATTGATACTCCCTAAAGGTAATTGAAGAGGGAAAAGGCTAGCGGCTATGTCTCATGGGGCTTCTATACTTACAAGGCAAAAGCAAAGTGACAGGGACCTAGGCTTTTCTTATTTCACTGTTTTGTGTATGAATATGTAGAGATGGTCGAATCATAGTATTACCATAGAACTTAGCCCAATACCTTAAGACTTGATACGCAAGTTACCTTAAGGCCAATAAATGAAGGGAAAAAAATCCATATATTGATACTGTATTTAAAGTTACTATTACAGCTTTTAAAATACATATGTATGGTAGTTAAATGGATTAATAATGTAAGAGGTGGTCAATTTCATTCCATTTGGAAAATGAGTTGGCTGTTGCAGTGCAGTTTTAGAGAAAAATTATTGTAGTCCTTCATCAATGACAGTGAATTCTGGTTCCTACCATTGATCTATTTCACCATAAGTATGAGTCAGGAAAAGAAGCAACCTACAGAATGGCAACTGTTATGTTCAACACTGCCTCTCTGCTAGGTGTACTTAAGCCCCAAGATATCATTTCTCCTGTGTGAACAGAAAAATCACTCCTTTGCCTGTTTCTACAGGAAATCCAGTCATACCAACCATGTGGTGGTTTCAGTGATCTTACTGAAATTTGTGGGGCCAACCGACAGGGTCTTATTATAAAGCCAACATACAGCATATCTATCCTCTCCTTCCCTCCCTCCCTCCCCCCTCCCTCCTTTTCTCCCTTTCTTAGACAGGCCACATCTAACACTTTCACCATTACCATCCTCTACTCTGATGCAGGGGTTTGGTTTGCCTTTGCTTTTTGTCTTCACTCAGCTCTCTCTGACTTCTTTGCCACTTCTAAATTCTGGCTGCATTCTGAATCACCCTCCCATGTACAGATTCAAGTTTTCAGCCCTTTATTATCTAAAACAATCTAGGTATATTAGTTAATTAGTTTCTTAAATAGTTAGGTAAGTCCTCTTCTTCTTCCTCTTCCTCTTCCTCTTCTTCTTCCTTCTTCCTTCTTCCTTCTTCTTCCTCTTCTTCTTCCTTCTTCTTCCTTCTTCCTCTTCTTCTTCCTTCTTTTCTCCTCCTCCTCCTCCTCCTCCTCCTCCTCCTCCTCCTCCTCCTCCTCCTCCTCCTCCTCCTCCTTCTTCTTCTTCTTCTTCTTCTTTTGTGGGGGACAGTCTCCCTGTAGCTCCAGCTGGCCTGGAACTCACTATGTAGGCCAGGCTGACCTTGAACTCACAGAGATCTGCCTGCCCAGATAGTTTTCTAAACATGCCCTTTCCAAGGTCTCCTAATCTCCAAGATACTTACTTATGAATTGTCCTTGCAAGCAAGGCATGTCCTGCTGCATCTTTGAACTGCCTATAGCATGACATCTTTGAACATGTTTGTTATGCCCAGAACATGTGGAGACTGTGTCAAGGAGAACTAAAAACAGAAGAGAGAAACTGAAAAATTAAATCCAGCTTTCTGATGAGTCCATCAAGGGAAGTCACTGTTGATTAACTTGCTGTTGCATATATTCTGGAGATGTTTCTACTACATTCCAAAATTCAGAAAAAAATATTTTCTTAAGTCTGTGGAAGCAGTCCTTGCAATGACATGATTTGGGGTCTTGACTCGTCCTCCCCCTTGATGTGCAGAGGCTGCATATACCCTCCTGTTGTATGATGAGCTGCTAGAATGGTCTGATCGGCCCCTCAGGGAATTCCTGACCTACCCCATGCAAACAGAATGGCAGCGCAAAGAGCACCTGCACCTCACCATCATCCAGAACTTTGACAGAGGCAAAGTAAGTAGCACTGCCCACCCATGTTCTTCCTTTTTAATTCTCCTCAAGCAGGATCCTCACACTTTAGTGTGCATTAGAAACACTTGAGAGCTTGTTGAAATGCGGTTTCCAAGCCCTGCCCCAGACATTCTGATTAAGTAGGACTGGCAATGGCCTGGGGAATCTGGGGTTTTAATGAGGACTCTGGGAAATTCCCACATGCCCAAACTCTTCATCAGCCTTTGACTACCATGAATCTTGAGGTACTGACACTGTTTTATCCCACTGTAGCTGCTGTACTTAAATACATAGACAGGCTGAAAAGACTGCTCAGTGGGTAAAGGCACCTGCTGCCAAGCTTGATAACCGAGTTTGATCATCTTGCTCTATATGGTAGAAGGAGAGAACCAACTCCCACAGTTTGTCCTATGACTGCTACATGTGCTCTGTAATACACAGAATAAATATCTAAAATAGAGTAAATATACACATAGTGACTTACAAACCACAGAGACGTATTGTCACTGTTTTGGGGGTGAAAAAGTCTAAGGTCAAAACCTCAAGGATTCTCTGTGCTGAAGCCTACTTCCTCATAGATGGCGTCTCTTTCCCATGCCCTCACGTAAAGGAAGAGTGCTTGGCTCAGGGGAACTTCTATAAGGGCACTAAGTCCTTCATGACCTAATCAACTCCTAAGGAGTCCTCTCTCCTAATATCATTACCTTAGGAGTTAGGACTTCAATAAAAGAATTTAGGGAAAATGCAAACATTCATGTGCTATAGCATATGGCCATATTATTCTTTGAAAAAATATACCCCTCACTTGCTCCCAAACTGGAATGCAGTCTTACCCATTCAACTTTTCTTTTTAGGTAAAATGAAAGAAACTGGATTTGTTGAGGAAGTTTGTAGCAGCCCTTCATGTATTTAGAAATGTTTAGAGTGCTGGAAAAACTCTCACTGACCTAATGCAATTTAGAAATCACTCTACTTCTTGTCCTTCTTCAAGGGCTTGCAATTCTCTTTTAAAAGATTGTGAATCAGAGCACCAGTGTTTATTTGATGTGAACTCTTGCTTTAAATATCTCTTCCAAATTGCAAAGGTTAAGCAGAAAGTTAAAAGACAGCAAGTGGCTGTCATTTCTTTTTAGAGCATAATTGGATATGACTAACATTTTGATGCAGAGAAATTGCTTCTCTCCTGTCCTTTATTACTTGTCTAACCAAAATAATACAGCTTTACATTAATACCAGAGACACAAGTCTTTGTGTCCTCCTGATATAAAAATTTCACCTGTACAGTAAGCTATTTCAAAATCTCATGTATTGGCCCATTCCCAGGAATTTGTACTACATCAGGATTATAAACCATGAGCCACAGGGCAAATGGGCCACCACCTCTTTCTCTACAGCCTACAGGCTACACATGACTTTTATGTATTTAAATGGTTGAAAGAAATTAAAAGACTAATAATACTTAGTGGCAAGTGCAAACCATATGAAATCTGCTTTTGTCCACATATTCTCATTAGAATATAGTCATACTCACTTATGACTCTCAACTTATTTCATGCTACAATAGACAAAATGAATAATTCCGACAAAAACTGTATGGCCCTAAAGCCAAAAAATTATTGACTGCCTGTTCTTTTAAGGAAAAAACTTTGCTGAAAGCTATGCCAGACAGAGAAAATTTCACATTTCTTCTGAGAGTAACAAGCTGTTCTAACCAGAGTCTAATGACCCACACAATTTGCAAGTGCAAGTGAGCTGAGTAGGAAATCCATGACACCAGGCTTGTATAATTGGACCTTAGGGGTCAGTGATAATTCCCTCCTAAGAACTGAGAGAATGTGTATACACATCTACAGGGCCATTGTTTGCCATTGTTTCTGCAGTTGTTTCAAGAAGGTGATTGTGACACAACAGAGAAAATATTGTTTCTGTATCATATGTTAAGGACTTTTAGGAGGAATTGTCACATGTTATTTGATGGTGTTTTCTTGCTTAAAATGGCAGTGATATTATTCGGGGTATGTTGTAAGATTAGTGGAAGGCTTTTTGATCCACACAGTCATGTCCTGACTGTTGGATGGAAGTGAGCCTGACTGTTCAGTATGGTGAATGCTTCCATTTACATTGCTCTCTGTCCACAGTGTTGGGAGAATGGCATCATCTTGTGCCGGAAGATTGCAGAGCAGTATGAGAATTACTATGACTACAGGAACCTGAGCAAGATGAGGGTAAAGTACTCATTAGGTGTAGCACCCCTTTTCAATCAATTTTCCAACGTGGCTGTATGAAACCAAGTTGGTCATCATCTTGATAGGCCTTATAGAAACCCTTTTAAAATTATATTTTCTTTAAAACATACCCTTATACAGAGAAATAACAAAGTCATCTGTGTAATGCTTTTGATTAATATGCATATAGGGAGCCCTTGATCTGTTTCTAAAACCCCACATATGAAATGCACAATCTAATCCAGGATTAATATTTTAAGTTATTGTAGAAAATCTCTATGCTGTTTGAAGAGCTTCCCAACTGCACACAAATTTCTGTAACCATTATACAGTTCTTGTCACCATGATCTGCAAAACAAAATAATAGAAGTGGTTCACTGGCTCATTTTAAAATAAATTAGAGCCAAACTCTGTATCAACTCTCTTTACCTTCAGAAATGTTTCACTAAACCCAAATTAAAGTGTTAGTACAAATGCTCAAAGAGTTTATCATTCTGTATTCCTGAGTCATTAGTTTGCATCTCTTTGCTTTTAAGTTCACACAAGTCCCTGTCCTACAAATCCTTAGTCCTAGGTGTTGTGAACATTTTGTGTCATGTTGTAATGCACAAGGTCCTGATGAGTGCTGAGGTTCTTCTGGGTTTCTAAGACAGGTTCATCAGCTCATATATATTAAAAAATATTATGGTGTTGCCTTTCAATTTTGAGGTCCCCATTTCAGACATGCTAGCATAACCCTTCAACAGCTTCCAGAATCCCTTATTAAGCCACCACAGTAGCTGAGTCACCTTGTGGGAACTGATTCTGTACCTTTGGCATAGTCCTTCATGTCAGAAGGTTATCAGTACTTCTCCTAGCATGAAAACAACAAGAAAAGTCTGATTTTAACTCTAGTTCATCGTGCTGACTCTGGCAGGCCCCGCAGCTTCATATAAACACATTGCTGTTCTTCTTGGCAGCTTGTCCCTGTGACAGAAGTGAGGTTACAGTGTTTACCAGTGAGAGCCCTTGGGTGCCATAGTCAGGAAGATTTTTAGAAATCCAAAGCATTACACTTCATACCAACTGCTCTTTGGGGTGCTGTTACTGAGGGAGAGGGAGTCTTCAAGTGCAATATTTGTCTTTCTCTGGAAGCCCCTGGGATGATAATACTACATCAAAGAAGCCACAAGCTTTATTTGCTTCCTAGTTTGAATATGGTCAAAGACACACTTAAGTGCTTTCAGCCCAGACAGCACTTTGTGCTATATGACTCCTTTGGTTTAGTTGGTTGATTGGTTTACCCTTGTCCGGCCTATGCAAGATTGTTCCTCCCACATGTCCTGAGTCTTGAATTACCACATGTAGGGCAGAGGCAAAACCACAGGTGAGTACACCTGGCGTAAGAATTCTCCAGAAAGATTTGACTTCTAAATTTTCATATTAATGTCTGTTTCTCCTATTTCTATTATAAAGTAAACATTTGATTTTTGTGTAGAAGTAGTTTGTACCAGTAATAACATGTGGTAATAAACTTGATCCTGGAAACAGGAGTCAGCAAACTTCAGCCTGTGGCCCAGCAAGTTGAGTGGTGTGATGGAGACCATTGAAATGGTTACTTTCTGAATAATTGTAAAATTAGTTTGCTGATTCTTGCCTTCAAGTATTAAAAGGGGGATCAAATTTCATTTTCTGCAAGTTGAATTAAATGAAGTTCACCTGTATGTAGACGCATACGCTTGTACTGATATGTCTGAGAGGTGAGGTAGAATACTCCGAACTTCCCCCATGCTTTCCTAGATGATGGAAGCCTCTTTGTATGACAAAATCATGGACCAGCAGCGCCTGGAACCTGAGTTCTTCAGAGTTGGATTTTATGGGAAGAAATTTCCATTTTTCTTAAGAGTAAGTAATACCGTGTCTAATTTTCTTTCCTTGTTCTGGTTCAGATACCCCAATTAAGAAAACTAAGGTATTAATGACACTTTATGACAGGGAACAAGACAGGTGACATCATGACATTTTATTGTATTCTTTTAATTTCCAAAACTGTTAATCTAGAACATTTTATTTTGGACAGATTCTAGAAATCAAGCAATCAAGTTTATTTTATGGCCAGTTGTCAGTGGTTAAAGTTTCCCTGTGTGGTTCCCTGTTGTGTTCACAGTGCAATTTCCATAGAGTTAGCATTCGAGAAAAATGAAGGAAGGCAACAGGGAATGCAGAGTGCAGACTGTGGAAAACAGGAGAGTGACATCTAGTAGAAATCTTACCTCTAGAGCCATGGGAAGAGTGTTGCTTGGTTTTTTGTTTGTTTGTTTGTTTGTTTGTTTGTTTTATGACTTTGTGAAAAGGTAAATGTTACCCAGCAGAAACATCTAATTTATTGCTAGTGTAAACCATTTCAGCAAAGGGAAAATTCCAGACAGTCCAAGGGACCTACTAGAGAATAAAGTATTTAACTCTATTCTTCTGTTTTCACATTCGACCATTATATACTTTAATGCTTATTGGATACCTCAGTATCGAAAATCTTCCATGTATTAAAACATTGGTTAAAAGAGGAAATTCACTCACTCATGGGGCAATACAGAGTGCTCTAGATAACTGATGAAATTGAATCCCTTTGTGAGCCAAGTGTGGTAGCTCAATCCTGTAGTCCCAGCACTCGGGAGGTAGAGGCAGGCGGATCTCTGTGAGTTTGAGGCCAGCCTGGTCTCCATAGAGAATCCAGGCCAGCTGGGGCTACAGGGAGAAAAAGAAAAGAAAAAAGACAGTAAATATAAAAAACAAATATAATAAAAAACAAATATATATATATATATACCTTTAAAGATTTATTATATAATAAGTATGTATTTTTAAAATCAGAAGTATTTAAGAAGCCCAAATTATAAAGGAGGTTTAGAAAACTACAAAACTTCATGGACCAAAGTGTTAAAAAGACAATTAGAATGAATTACCTCTCTAGAGCCGGTCTTTTCAAAGTAGCTTTTCTCTATATGTCATTTCCTTCAGGATGAAAGACAATGATCTCCCTCTGTTGGTTTCAGAAGGACACTGCAGGCTTCAAAATCCCAAGCCTGGCCTTTTAGATCCTAATGTTTTATTTATTTTATTCAAATTAAAAATAAAAGAATATCAGCATTTAAAAGTTAAATTTGGGGCTGGAGAGATGGCTCAGTGGTTAAGAACACTGGTTGTTCTTGCAGAAGACCCAGGTTTGAATCCCAGGACCCACGTGGCAGCTAACAATTGTCTGTAACTCCAGTTCCAGGGGATCTAACAGCCTCTTCTGACCTTCGTGGGCATTACATGACATGGGTGCACTTACCTACATGCAGGCAATATACACATACACGTACATAAAATAAAAATAATAAGTAAAAAAAAATTTGAAAAAAGAAAGCTGGAAAAATTCACATGAAGGCTTGTACCTGAATGCTCATGACAGCACTATACTTAACATACAAAAAGTAGAAACAGATGGACAAGCCGAAATGTAGCATATAGATGCAGTGGGTTACTACTCAGCAACAAAGAAAGATATATGCACACACAGTCACAAGCTAGATAGACATTGATGATACGTTAATTAAAAGAACCCCAGGGCTAGGGCTATAGATCAGTTGCTGAAGGGCTTTCCCAGTAGAGATGAAGACCTGAGTTCAATCCCCAACATCGAATAAATCAGGCATGGTGGTGCACACCTGTAACCTCAGTGACCAGGATGTACAGACAGGAGAATCAGAAAGTCAAAAGTCATCTTTGACTATACAGTGAGTTTGGGGCTAGCCTAGGATACATGAGACCCTGTCTCAAAAATAAATAAAATTTAAAAGAAGCCAGTCACAAAAAACCCCACAGTTATTATTGTTCCATAATATATAAGCCCATAAAAACAGAGAGCGTCGTTGTGGGGTTGCCAGGGGCTTGGGAAAAGAAGTGAAAGGAAATGAAAGCTAATGGGCCTCCTTGCAGAGGATGAAAATATTCTGAAGTGAGATTGTGCAGATGTTGCACAACTCTATGAATGTACTAAAAAGACTAAAATACATTTCAAATTTTACAGTAGCACATAAGTCTCAATAAAGCTATAGTTTTCAAAAAACATATTGATAGAAGAAATTGCTTGTTTCCTTTTATTTCTTGAAGCCTAAATATCAGAGCCCAAACTTTCATTTTATTCAAAATAGCTTCCTAATACCATTACATTTTTATGTGTTGAACGTAATTTCCTGTTTTGCAAACTGTTGTTACATATAGACTTGTTTTTAAAATATTTCAGTTATTAGAATTTTAAATGTATTACCTTTGATTTAATCAAGAGAATGCATTAGCTTTTAGTCAAGCATGGTGGTGCATGTCTTTAATCCCAGCACTCAGGAGGCAGAGGCAGGTGGACCTCTGTGAGATCAAGACCAGTCTGGTTCATAGGGACTTCCAGGCCAGCTGGGACTACGGGGAGAGAGACCCTGACACAAAAAAGAAAAAAAGCAAGAGAGAGAAAAAGAGAGATAGAGAATGTATTATCTTTTAAAAAAAATTTTTATATTGAATTTTTGTGTATTTCATACAGAACATCTCAATCAATCTTAATCATCTTTATACTCCCTTCCCCAGTGGCACCTTCCCATAGCACCCCCCCCAACACACTGGAATCCATACATTCTGTAATTTGTGTTAAGGCCTATTGAGTCAAGTTAGTGTCCCCAGACACTCGTCAGTTCAATTTCATCTACTGAGGTGTAGTCAGCCTATCTCAGAGTCCCTCGCTTTAGGGAGATCAGCAATTCCTCACCCAGCAGTAATTAGCTGCCAATATTTCCTCAGCTAAGGTTGGAGTCTGCTGTCCATTTCCACAGTTCTATGCTGGGGTTTTGTCTGCTTGCGTTTTCATGGGTCTTGTACATGCTGACACCACTGCTGAAGGTTCATATGAGCAGGGTCCTAGGAG